GTTTTGTTAAACTATCACTTTTGATATAATAGTTTCCTAATAAATATTTTCTACTGATACAGCTGTTGGTATTATGATGAATGTATCAGTCAGGGCACCAAATGGAAACAGATGGTACACTCAAATTAAGATAAAGATATTTACAAAGAGGTGTGCAGTATAGGGGAACCACAGGGATTAATGTAGTAGGTGGAGTTAGTAACAGCAAAATTGTCAACACCCCTAAAACAGAAAAGATATGTAATGGGAGCTGCTACCAGTCCTCAAAAGGAGAGAGGGGACAATGTAGGAGAGGCCATATTGAGAGGAACTTTGGGTTGGCTGAAGGACATAGCCAGCCCAAACTCACAGGGAGGGAGCCTCAGCAAAAATACCTTGGCCTCTCTCGTTTCCTTCGGTCTTCTGCTGGATCTCCTCATTGGCGTGACACCACAGGAATCCAGAGAACAGGGGAACCATCTGGTAAAGACAGGTCAGCTTTCCAGCAGAAGCAGGGCAGAGTCCTCCCTGGATGTGGAGGGCAACTGGATAATGTTGGGCACAGATTGCTTATTTTAATCAGAAGGAAGTATTCCTTTCTCAAATAACAATTTGAATGTTAATTAATCAGTACTTTGGTTGCATGTGACAAATACTCAACTTGATGTAGCTTACACAAAAAAAGCAGACACTGAAGGAAGGGCAGGGAAGAGCTGATTCTAGGGAAATAAATGCCGTTGGGCACACATCCTATTTCTCAACTCTGCACGTTAATTTCTTTTGGAACAAAATGGGGATCTGGTCTGCAGCAGCACCAGAATGGCATCCTTACAGCAGTATAATCAGACATGAGACGAGACTCATCTCCCAACTCCATACACAAAGCTTGCAGAAGAACTTTACTATGAGATCTAAATGAAGATTTGCATAAATGGGATGGGAAGACTGATTTGGAAAATGCTAATTCTTACCAAATTAGTTTATAAGCATAATGTAATTCCAACCAAAATACTATCTGAATTTTTTTGGAATGTGAAAAATAGAAGTCTACACTTGTTCAAGAATTTGTCAGGATACCAAGATTAAAAAAAAAATAGCAAAAGGAACTTGCCCTATTGATTATTAAAATAGATTATCAAGTGATAGTAATTAAAAGTATGTTAATGGAAGAAATGACAATTAGATAAAACGTGTGTGTAGGTATGTGTATAATAAATGAAGGAATTCAAACCAACTGGGTGGGAATGGATTAACCAATAATTGGTCCTAGGAGAATTATATGGGGAAAAAAAAATCATGCTAGGCCCTTAAGTCATATTTTATACTTGACTTCTAAACAAATTGAAATGTTAAAAAGAAAATAGCATAAACAGTAATATAGATGAGATAAATATTTAATCTTGGGGTGATAAGGACTTTCTAAGCTTAAAAAGGAATGAATAGACTTGACAACATAGAAATGAATAACTTAAATGTCAATAATTACATGTAAGGCTGGGCGCAGTGGCTCACACCTGTAATTCTAGCATTCTGGGAGGCCAGGAGTTCAAGACCAGCCTGAGCAAGACCCCGTCTCTACTAAAAGTAGAAAAATTAGCCGGGTGTTGTGGCACACGCCCATAGTCCCAGCTACTGAGGTGGCTGGGACAGGAGGATCACTGAAGCCCAGGAGTTTGAGGTTGCAGTGAGCTATGATGACACCACTGCACCCTACCCAGGGCAGCAAGACTCTCTCAAAAAAAAAAAAAAAAAATTTACATGTGAAGTTAAAGGCAAACAGCAAACTAGAAAACATTCTTAAATTGAGAAAGTATTACCACACTACAAAAATACTCAGTAAATGTTTACTAAATGAAGTGTTTGCGTTGATTAATGTTACTTTTTGGAAATCCAGGAAAAAGTTATTAACAATTTTAGATGATAAATAGTAAAAGGTAATTAACACTATTACCTTATTTAAAATAACAAATACTTTTGATTGGCCAAATTTAGTAGCAGACAATTTTGTTTTCATAATATGTATAATCAAAGAATTGTAACACAGAAATAAGGCTAACACATTTTTCATTTTTAGAAAATTAACTCCTTTAAGGTCAAAAGTGGTCATTCTATTTTATATCCTTCACATAGATTCTCTATAAATAGCTTTACTCAAATCACTTAGGTTTCTCTATTAACTGTACTTGCTGGTATAATTTTAAAAAAAAGAAAGAAAATACTTGTAAAAATAATGTTACTCACCTGACATGGAAGATTAACTACATAGGATGAGTTCAATAATGTTCTGAATTTAATAAAGAATTGGTTTAACTCTGCTCACAGTTACAAGTAGCTGAACATTTTTTTCAATGGTAGAATAAATTCAGAATATGCCAAATTTTTAAAAACTAATGAGAAAATATGAATAGCAACTAAAAAGATAAATAGGTGCATTCAATGAGAATTTTTATTTCAATTATCCACAAAATATTACAATAGTTTATAAAAATATTAAGTTTTAAGCTACCATTATTCATTAAAAAAAATTGTGCTAGGCTGTTTTTGACAACTTCCTTTTTTGGTAAAGGTTAAGTTCCACATTAAGACACTGAAGACAAAAAGCTGTTGGAAGAAATCTTCAAATGTACAAAGTTGTTTATTTTTCTTGGCAATTTAAAAATACATAACAACTTAAAATGAATACACATTAAGTTAGTGTTTTATCCTTAATATACAATTGTTATTATAAGGAACTGCTCCATTCAGTTAAAACCTAATGAACACCATCAACTTTTCCTGGCTTATTTTTCTGATCATAATTAGTGCGTAATTTTGTTATCTTTTTAAAAATGCTTAGAAAAATTACAATATCATAATTTACATAAAGTCTTTTAAAAATCTCATGTCACAGATTGTAGATGTTAAGGATAAATTATGATGACACTCTTCTTAGGAAGACCCTCTTGGTAGAGGAATTCAATACTAAGCAGGTTACGTAAACAGAAAAAACAACCATGATTTTTAGTACCAGAACCGTTGCCAACCTGCATGATGTTCACTTGTCACATTTTAAAATAGTCTGAATTTGAACACATATACCATGGCACAGAATTTTAAAGTTATTCATTAAATCAGGTAAGTGACGGCAGTTAAAAATGATACCCTGAAAATATAGGAACCTGATATAATGCTTTATTTAAAGTGTGCACTATAAAGGAATATTTTAAAAACACAAATACCAGACTTTTATTTATCGGATTCACTTCTTCCATTCCTTAGACACTTAAAGCAGAATACTGTTATTCAAATTCATATTTTAGAATTTCTGATTTAGTCATAAAAATCAGTCTTATTTTGTATGCTTCACTTTTGCACTTGAAATGGGCGAAAATTGTTCCCCTTTTCACTACTGTTACTATTCAGAATAAGTCTTCCTCCCCAAATAAACTATATTCTAAAAGGGAAAAAAATGATCACCAGTAAAGTATATTTAAAAAGTGACTGTAGATTCAAACATGGATTTGGAAACTGGAGTTCTAAGAATGTTTTGCATAAAACTGTGTCTCACTGGAGTTAGTGTGAAGGCTTAACTTCACTATTTTGAGGCTGTGACACTCATTTAGTGTGTATGTTAAGAAAAATTAGTTTTATAGTCCTACCTTATAACTCTTAAAGTCTCAGAAAATAGCTAAGTGAGTAGTTTTGAGTGCCAGCAAAGCCATTTTGTCACTCCATGGCATCAACATTAAACATTACATTCCATCCCTCTACCTGTAAAACTTTCACATTTTCTTTTCTCATATTTCTTTTAAATACATTTTCCTCTCTGTCTATATTCCATACAATCAAAAGTGCATTTAAGTCCCTGGATCTTGTGATAGTTTCTATTTGTGGCACCCATCACCATAAAAACATAGTAGCAACATCTCACAGTACCAAGTCTTTTTTTTTTTTTTTAAAAAAAAGGACTATTTAATTAAAAGCTGGGTCTTACTTTTCATGCTCTCAAAAGATTAAAGATTTCCCCTTGGATTGTTCAATTTCAATTATATACTGCCTTTAAAAACAAAAATCAATGCAACCTTATAAAAGATTAACTCACTTTCTAGTTACCTTCATTATTCTAAATTGAACTATTCAGAAAATGACTGAACTGAAAATTTTCTTATTCTACTTTCTAGTTCCATGAATATGAGTGATAACATAGCAATGATACTTTCAAATTCCACTGTTGTGGTCTAACATTTAATCAAGTTTTAGATGCTGTTTATATTCCTTTTATGTTTCTGAAAAACCTGGCCCATTTCCATGCAAGAGGAGGCACATATATTAAGATTGCATACTGACTGTTTAAGGAAAAACTTTTGAAAATAATAAATGCAAAAAATGTTTAAAAACTGGAATGGAATTATTTGGTCCTATGATGTTCCTTAATTTTAGATTTTATTATGGCATAGCTTTTTATCTCCCAAGTTTTGTCTGTAACAATAAATAATTTTCTCTTGACAATTCTGAGTTTGGGGAAGAAAAGAAGGGAAATGATTTTTAAGCAGCAGCCTTGCTGCTCTTCATTACCATGCTATGGCCCCTACTGTCATCAGTATCTTAGTTCTATTTTCTTTGGACCCTGAAATAAGTTGGAAAATTCATCATTGGTACTTTAGAGTTTAACACTTGGGGGAAAAAAAGTGGTTTTGTGCTGGAATTCCAGTTTACCATTAAAAACATGCAGAGTAAAGAAGATTTTCTTCTTTTGATTCCTGTACATAAGTGAGAAACTCTACACAAGTTCTTTACATTTTGGCAGATTTCTGCATACAAAATAGGCTACTTGGATTATAAATTTTCTCCTGGCTGGTATTGTGGCTCTGTAGCAGTGAAGTAGTCTTCCAAGAAGGACTGAATATATTCAAACGTCGGTCTTTCATCAGGGTCCTTCTTCCAACACTGATTCATCAAGTCATGGAGGGATTCTGGGCAGCCCTGAGGGCAGGGCATCCTGTATCCTCGTTCCACCTGCTCCAGCACTTCACGGTTTACCATGCCTACCCACACAAGAGTCAAACATTAAAAACAATGGTCCTACCACTGCTAGCAAAACAAAACAAATCCCCTACACTAAATGATTCAAGGTATATCATGTTTATTTAGTGAAATGAAATGATTCTTTCAACAGAGAAAGTAAATAAATTGTAAGTATCAGAGTATATCAAAAAGAGCTTAGAAAATGCTAATCTATATTTCCACATATCTAATTTTTCTTTTCTTTTTTTCCCTTGAGGCAGAGACTGGCTCTGTCACCCAGGTGAGTGTACAGTGGCATTATCATAGCTCACTGCAACCTCAATTCCTGGGCTCAAGCAATCCTCCTGCCTCAGTCTCCTGAGTAGCTCAATTTTTTTCTATTTTCGGTAGAGATGGGGGTCTCATTCTTGTTCATGCTGGTCTTGAACTCCTGGCCTCAAGCGATCCTCCTGTCTTGGCTTCCCAGAGTGCTACGATTACAGGTGTGAGCCACTGCACCCAGCCACCCGTCTAATTTTCAATTCCACCTAACATCTTATTTTTAACACTTAATGCCTTCAAAACCCTATTAATGAAAATTTAGGGTGCCACTTTGAGGTACTGATGCTTTCTGATTTTTTTTTTTTTTTGAGACAGAGTCTCACTGTGTTGCCTGGGCTAGAGTGTCGTGGCGTCATCCTAGCTCACAGCAACCTCAAACTCCTGGGCTCAAGCGATCCTCCTGCCTCAGCCTCCTGAGTAGCTGGGACTACAGGCATGCGCCACCATGCCCGGCTAATTTTTTCTATATATTTTTAGTTGTCCAATTAATTTCTTTCTATTTTTAGTAGAGACGGGGTCTCGCTCTTGCTCAGGCTGGTTTCAAACTCCTGAGCTCAAACAATCCGCCCGCCTCGGCCTCCCAGAGAGCTAGGATTACAGGCGTGAGCCACCGCGCCCGGCCGCTTTCTGATATTTACATTTAACAATGACCAAACTTGGGCTAATGAGGAATGGTGGCAACGTAGTGTATGAAAGAACTTTCAAATAAGAATTCAGAAGAAAGAGTTCTAGTCCTGGTTTTGCCAAATAACTAATCATATAACAGAGAAGAGTCACTTCTCTGAAACAGTTTCCTTTCTAATATCACCTGTTAGACTTTCTTCAGTTTATTACAGGGACTCACCCTATGTTATTACAGGCCAGAAAAAAAGGCCTCTTTTTCTAAATTCCTCCTCCTGACACTGTCTCACCAAGCTGGCAACCCCATCCACCACTCCTCCCATCTCCCACACCACCTTCCTTGCCTAGCTACAAGTCAGGCTATCCCTCTTATCTCCTATAATCTTGAATTGACTAGTCAGCAATGATTTCTTAAACAGACTATGATCCCCTTAAGTCAACGTAATGGGGTTAAGTCATTATTTCTACTTTTAGTTATGGTATTTCCCAGGAATAAGTGATTTGTCAAAATACTTTTTTTTTTTTTTTTTTGAGACGGAGTCTTGCTCTGTCGCCCCAGCTAGAGTGCAGTGGCATCATCATAGCTCACAGCAAACTCAGACTCCTGGGCTCCAGCCATCCTCCTGCCTCAGCCTCTCAAGTGGCTGGGACTACAGGTGTACACCACCACGCCTGGGTAATTTTTCTATTATTTATAGAGATGGGGTCTCACTATTGCTCAGGCTGGTCTCAAACTCCTGACCTCAAGTGATCCTCCCGCCTTGGCCTCCCAGAGGGCTAGGATTACAGGTGTGAGCCACCATGCCCGGCCTACATTTTTTACTATTAAAAAAAAACTGTATGAGTATTATTTTGAGCTTTTCAACTAAGCAGGCAGTATCACCTTCATAAGTGAGATCCAGTACATTTTGCCAACCGTGGAAATATAACCAGAAGTTGTTAGGGAGAAGCAGAAAAGGAACAAAGCAACTAATATTCAACGAGAGCTTACTATAATTGAAGAACTCTTTTCTCCACTTTTATGCCTTTGTTCTTTTATTTTAAGTTTTATTATTTTAATTGACTGTTAAGATCAATTGAATTATATCTGAACCTACAAAAATAACTACGAATAACCAATAAACTTTATTCAAAACTTGATCCTTCATAATTATCTGATAACCAGAACAATTACTTTATGCCAACACTTATGAAAGTAAAATATCGCAAAAATGGCATCTAATGGAAATACCCTCTATTCAGGTAGAAAACTCTGTTCTATAAGGGAACTTCTGAGCTTGCAAATAAGATACAACTCCCTGAGCACAGTGGGAATCAGGTCTCTCCCTACCATTCCTCAGTTGTAAAAGCAGAAAAAAGGAGACTTGAAAGATTATAAGATTGTCAATACCTAAAATCCAATGGTACTTATTACAACACTCACTCTGTCAATAAGTTTAAACATTTCATACTTGTCTGCATTTGCCAAGGTTTATTATTGTCCTAAAATAAGATTAGTAAACAGAAGCTGTTGCTTTGAAATGGACAGCCTGCTGTCGGAAAAGCCTTTCTGAATCCTCTTCAAATTATCAAAGACAGACAATGATGCTTATATATCTTTTTCTTCTGTAAAGACCGTCAGTGTACAAATTCTGATTCTTATCTGAACACCTAACTAGAATAACCCAATTATATTAATTTTTATGTATTTTGAAACTATGTTAGTTGCATGCTCATTTTGAGTTTTTATGTTTCCCTGTTGAACTGACCCTTTTATCCTTATGAAATATGCCTTTTTGTCTCTAGTGATATTTCATGCCTTAAAATGTGTTACACGGGCTTTCAGTTAGCATTTACAGAGTATCTTTTTCCATCCTTTTAATTTCAGTCATTTTGAATACCTTACACAAAGTGTGTCTCTTATAGTATTTATATATATTTAAAATCCAGTCTAATCTTTTAATTGAAATGTGTAGTACACTTACATGTAATATAATTATAGATGTAGTTAGATTAAACTCTACCATCCTGAAATCCAGTACATTTCACCAACGATGGAAATATATGAATAACTAAACTATTATATAAATAAACTATTTGTCTCATCTATTCTTTTTTCTTCTCTTGCTTTTTACTGTGATTAAGCCAGCATCCTTCATCATTCCATTTTTTCTATTAGCTTTTTATGTTACCATCTTTTATTACTATTTTAGTGGTCATCATTGAGATTACAGTATGTGTCTTTGGCTTATTGTACTTTAAATAAATACTTTTACACTTTCTGAACAAAAGAAACATGGAACAGTTTATCTGTTACTCCTTTATCCCCTCTGCCTTTTTGTGTTATTATTGTCATAGAATCTATTTTTATAAACATTTTAAGTTCGGTTATTTTATAAACATTTTAAGACATTTTTATTGCTGGTGTTTTAGATCATAAGTTTCCCCTGAAATACTTTAAAGACATAATTTCATTCTTTTCTGACTTCCATATCCTGAGGAAAAGTTAGCTATCTCTTTGACTGTTGTTTCTGTGTAGATAATATACAGGCTAAGGATCCCTTATCTCAAATGCCAGAAATGTTTCAGATTTTGGAATATTTGCATATACATAATGAGATATTTTGGGGATGGTACTCAAGTCTAAACACAAAATTCATTTATGTTTTGTGTACACCTAACGCACATAACCCGAAGGTAATTTTATGCAGTATTTTTCATAATTTTGTGCATGAAAAAAATTTTGACTATGACCCCATCACATAAGGTGAAGTATGGAATTTCCCACTTATGGTATCATGTCAGTGCTCAAAAAGTTTTGTATTTTGGATTTTTGGATTAGGGATACACACTGTACCACCTCCTTATGGCTGCTTGGTTTAGATTTTTGTAATTTTGTAATTTGACCATGATGTGCTTGCTTGAAGTTCACTGAGTTTATTTATTCTGCTTGAGGTTCAATGAGTTTACTGAATCTGTGGGTTGGTTCTTTTTATCATATTCGGAAGGTTTTTGACATTACTTTTTTCAAATATTGCTACTATTTCATTTTCTTTCTCATCTCCAGGGACTCCAATTATATATAAATTAACCTTTTCACTATGTTTCACTTGTTTCAAAGTTCTGGGGTTTTTTTCATTCTTTTTATTTATGCATTACTTTGGGTGTTTTCTGTCAATGTGTCTTTGAATCCACTAATCTTGCTTGCTACAATACCCATCTAATGAGTTCTTAATTTCATATTATGTTTTACAGTTCTAAAATTTCCATTTGATTCTTTTTTATAGATTCCAAATCTGTTGAAATTTTTGTTTTTCATCATTTTGCCAAACTTTTCTACTTCAACATTTTAAATATTGCTATTTTGAAGTCCTTTGCTAACTCCAAGATGGAGATCACGTCCGGGTCTGCTTCTATTGATTTGGAACTCTTTTTTTTAAATCAGTCATCTCTTCCCTTCTTAATATGTGTAGTAACTTTTTATTTTATGCCAGACATTTTGAATCAAACATTGTAGATTATCTGGATCATGTTATCTTTTCCTAAAGGATGTTAAGTTTCATCCTACTGGTAGTTAATTTTTACTGGTAGATCACTCAGATCTGCCAGTAAGTCAAGGCTTGGTTTTAGGTTAGTTCAGTTTTGCCCTTTCTTCTAGGGCATGGCCTTTCTGGTGTCTCAACAAAAAGTATAGAGTATTCCCCGTCTATTCACTTCAGCTGAGCAAGAACTCCCCAGCACTCTGTAGCCTCTGAACTCTGCTCAACTCCCCAGCCTTCCAGTGGCTATTTCCTGTTAGGTCTCCCAGAGCTTTTCCCTTCATATATGAAGATTAGGAGTTGGCCAAGGACCTGAGGGAATTTTTTTTTTTTTTGAGACAGAGTCTCACTTTTTTGCCCGGGCTAGAGTGCCGTGGCATCAGCCTAGCTCACAGCAACCTCAAACTCCTGGGTTCAAGCGATCCTCCTGCCTCTGCCTCCCGAGTAGCTGGGACTACAGGCTTGCGCCACCACGCCCAGCTAATTTTTCTGTTTTTAGTAGAGATGGGGCCTCACTCTTGCTCAGGCTGGTCTTAAACTCCTGGTCTCAAGCAATTCTCCCACATCAGCCTCCCAGAGTGCTAAGGGAAATTTTTAAGCAGAATTTTAGAGTTCTTTCCCTGTGGCTCCTTCCTCTCTGGGACCCTGCCCTCCAGATCCCAGCACTTGCATCTCTGTTTTGCTCACCAAGAATGATGCTGTCTGGGCTTCTTTGCCATATACCGTTTTAGAAAAAATGCTTTCAGGGAGAAAGCTGATATAAATTTAGGCCTTATCTCATGTACTTTCCCTGTTTTAAGGATTGTAGCCTTCATCAGTTGCTGTGCAATGTCAAAACAGTTCTTTTACACATTCTAACTTTTGTAGTAGTTTGTAGTGGGATCATAAATTGGATATTAGCCACTCTGTCACGGCCAAGACTGAAAGTTCCTCATGACTGTAGACTTAAAGTGACATTACTTAGCATGGCTGTTTTTTTTTTTTCCTCCAGTCATGTTTGCAGGTATGAGTAGGTGGAGCTGGATTATCTAGTGCAGTGATTTTGCTAAGCAATAGTGATGAAATGAGAGAAGGGCAAAGGGCAAATGTAAATGCAAGGGAATAATTACACTGCTTGATCATGGAACGTAAGGATTAGAGTGGTTTCATGAAGGGAGTGAGAAGCAGGAAAAGGTGGCAGAATCAATAGATTAAAGATCCTGGTAGTGTCAAGAAATTGCTAGGGTTGGGGTAGAGAGAATTAGCTGGGAAGATGGGAGGTGATGATCGGAGAGTAGATACATGAAGCTGAGATTATGAGAGGATTGCAGTTACTGGTAACTTAAGGTTTAAGATATGAATGTGGGAAGACTGGAAGAGTGGAAGACAAGATCATGGAGGAGAAGAGTTCAAACAACAAGAGACCAGGGTATTGGAAAAATCATGGATATGTGTATTAAGATGATCATAAATTAAGACAGGAGTGGAGTCTTATTAAAGAGGGCAATGGTGAGTCATTATTAAGTATGAGAAACTTAAACAGTGAGTATCAACAAAAAACAGCAACAAGGGAAAGTGAGTGATAAAATTTGATGGCACTGGATCCACAGTTGGAGGTATCAGGGAGGAGGAATATGCTAGATAACATGCAAAAACTGTAAGATTAGCATAACAATGTTTCCTGAATATTAGATTTTACAGGTTTTTATTCTCTTCAACTATTAGGAAACTTCAGTAGAAAAATTTGAGAAGTAACAGATTAAAAGAATATTTAATTGTAGCTGAATTTCAAGTGAGCTAAAATATCCCCTTTCCCCTAAAAGCTATATAATCTTATTGAGAGGGAAACATTTTTATTATTCCTCTGTATTAATGACAGATACAATTCTTAAAGTAATGATTTATAAATATGCTTTGTTAGGAGAAATAAAACAAGAAAAAGATCTCAAAATAGTCTATTGATAAAACAGGGCAAATATATATTTAGAAAAATACACCAGTCACATTACTAGAAATTACTTTCGGGGGACTAGAGATGACCCAAGATTACTTTGGATGGGGGGAAGGGGTGGCAGAAATGACCCAGGATATTTAAGATATACTTATTATCTTAGAGAACAGTACAGATAAAACGCCCCTCAGGAAAATGTCCATGGGAGAAAGCCGAGGTGAATGCAGAGCACAACTCATGTGCCCATCCCCTGTCAAGGACTGTGGCTTTCATTGGCTGCTGTCCACTCAATGCCAAAGTAAAGAGAAGGGGCGGGGAGATGGAAAGAGAAGAAATAAAGGCCCTTTCCTCCCCCTCATATTTCTGCTCCTAATAAACTCCTGATAAAGTCACTAATGGGATAACCAAGACCTAGTAAAATGTAAGCTTACCTGGATATGGCACTCTGCCCTTTGTTACCAGTTCTGTTTGCAGAATTCCAAATGACCATACATCAGACTTTATTGTAAATCGACCATACAGTGCAGCCTCAGGAGCTGTCCATTTGATTGGGAATTTTGCACCTGAAACAATATTGACCATATTGCTTAAATTGCTTAAAAATCGATTTGTATAAACATAAGCAGGGCTAATATTCTGTCAACATCCCCACTGTATGTGTCATCAGTGTTAAATTCTTCAAACACAAGATACATAGAAAAACTTCTTTAATTTTTAAAATTTATATTAAAATAAATAACATTTCTTCCTAATAAGGTATTCGATGATATAAAAAAGACAATTGGTGGTGGGGACAGTAATTCTTTGAAGAAAGTAGAGGTAGAGGCTCTATTAAGCCAAAAATATGGATTACAGCAGCAGTCTCTTTTTGGCACCGCGGACTGGTTTCATGGAAGACAATTTTTCTGTGGATGGTGGGGCGGCAGAGCTCAGGCGGTGATGCAAGCGACAAGGGAGCAGCTACAAATACAGATGAAGCTTTGCTCCCTCACCACCCACTCCTCACCTCCTGCTCTGTGGCCTGGTTCATAACAGGCCACGGACCAATACCAGTCTATAGCCTGGGGGTTGGGGACCGCAGGATTATAGGATCTGTAACTTTTAAGTGCAGTCTGGCACCTGAGAGCTATAGCTAACTATTGGTTTATGAAAGTATATTCTATTGGGTTCTAACATCTACTGGTTTTTGACCATAATCTCTTTTCTATTTTATGATATCTTTCTGCAAAGTTTTATTGTACTATCATTTTTTAAAGCCCATGTTGATTTACTCAAATATTTAGTGTACGCCTTTTATGTATAAGACATTATGCTAATTATAGGAACATAAGCATGGCATTCATGAAGTTTATATACTTACAGTGGAAATAAGATTATAGGTGTTTTACATACTTGAAGTTATTTATATTTGTGTGTATATAGTGTTGTAAAATAGAATTCTTTAGATAATTAGACAAACAGAAGATCAATTTTCCTCAGAATAAGCACAAGAGATTTCATCTGAAAAGTGGTACCTAGGCTGGGCGTGGTGGCTTACACCTGTAATCCTAGCACTTTGGAAGGCTGAGGCAGGGGGATCGCTTGAACCCAGGAGTTTGAGGTTGCAGTGAACTATGATGACACCACTGCACTCTGGCCCACCCAACAGAGTGAGACTCTCTCAAAAAAAACAAAAACAAAACCAAAAAAAGTGGTGCCTAAATTAAACCTTAAAGGATGGTTTGGGTTTTTACAGGTAAAGATTATGCCACAATAGAAGGATAACCCAGCTGGAGGTAATTGCACTAAGATATGGAGGTTGAAAAAAAAAAAAAAAGCACTCTGTCTAAAGCAGGGTTTCTCAACCTTGGCATCACTGACATTTTGGACCTGATAATTCTTTGTGTGCGGTGTCCAGCCTGTACATTCCTGCACATTGTAGGATGTTAGTGGTATGCCTGGCCTCCACCCACTAGGTGCCAGCAGTAGCCCCTAAACTGCAACAACCTAAAATAATTGACATTGTCAGATGTCCTTTGGGGAAGGGTGGTATGCAGGGCAACATCACCCCTGATTAAGAACCTCTGGTCTAAGGCAACAGTTCATAAAGTTTGTTACGAAAGGAATTAAAAAACCTTTATTGGCATGCCACAAGAGAGTAAAGAGGCTACATACAAGTTGCTGTATTTATAATGCAAAGAATACCAGTCAAGTCTTCCTTGGAGGAAATAACTATCAGAAAGCCACAGTAGTATTTACTGTATATAATTTTATGAATAAAATCAATGTTTCTATGACTCTGCTGAAGAGACCTAGAACTATTCTTATTCTATAAAGTTCTGTATGTTCAAAAGAAGACTAAGTAAGAAAAATATAGAACATTAGGTTACAAGCATTGTTTTTTTTTTTTTAAAGACAGGGTCTTGCTCTGTCGCCCAGGTTGGATTGCAGTGACAGGATCGCAGTTCACAGTAACCTTGAACTCCTGGGCTCAAGTCATCCTCCTGCCTCAGCCTCCCAAGTAGCTAGGACTGCACCTGAGTGCCACCACACCCCGCTAATTTCTTTTTTGTAGAGAGGGGGCCTTTCTATGTTGCCCAAGCTGGTCTTGAACTTCTGGCCTCAAGCAATCCTCCCACCCTGGCCTTCCAAAGTGCTGGGATTATAGGAATGAGCCACTGTGTCGGACCACATCATTTATGTAAAAGTAATTTTACCTTGTCTTGCCGTGTATTCATTGTCTTCAATTAATCTTGCTAAACCAAAATCTGCTATTTTGCACACAAGATTTTCTCCTACAAGAATATTAGCAGCCCGAAGATCTCGGTGAATATAGTTCATTCTTTCGATATATGCCATGCCATCAGCAATCTTAGAAAGAAAAAAAAAAACACAAAACATATGATACAAAGGGAAGTAGAGAGAAGACAGTTTTGGCTAATGTTTAATCAGATCACTTAAAACCATATATCTCAAAAGGAGATGATGGTAACAGGGCATAGTCTAGGAAATAATAGGAAAAACAGAAAACACTGTAATAAAAAAAGCAAGCTAAATCCAGATTTCAGAAATCTGACACTACTCTGGAGGCCAAGATTTTTAACCTCACAGTACACTGAGTGACCATTAACAGCAAAATGTCCTAATGTCTTCCTGTGTCAGTGGCAGGAGAGATAAATCACAGGGTTATTTAGTGCCTCTGGACACAGCCCATCAAGGTCCACTGTCAGTCACAATCTAAGACATCCTGGTGATAATGGTATTAACCAGAAGGTAGAGGTTGGCAAACTACAGCTTACGGGCCAAATGTGGCCTGCAGCCTGTTTTTGTGTGGCCTGAGAACTAAAATGGTGTTCACATATTTAAAAAGTTGTTAAAAAAAAAAAGATGAAAAAAAGGTATGAGAGACTTTACATGGCTTACCAGGCCTAAAACATTTACCTGGTTGTTCACAAAAAAATGGTTTGCCAACCCCCACTACCATAGTGTCTAAGAGCCTTGAACTCAGGAGCACAAACCAGGCCTGGTATACGCTCACACGTATAGTTTCTCAGCATAAAGTTTCTCTAAGTTGACAGATCTGTGGACATGTGGATGTTCATTGAGAAGTAAGAGTTCTGGAACCAGCATGTCAACCAAAGCCAATAAAAGGCCCTTAGAACACTTACCACATAGGTGGATAGGAACTTTTAATAATTTTCACTGTATATTTTAAACAAAAGGTTGAAGAGTTAAAAAGTCCCATTTTTAACAATATATTGCCATCTTATAACAATTTTTGTTTTGGACTATATTAAATAAAAAATTCAGCATATACTTTAGATTACTAATATTTTCTTTGGAATAGCATTCATCCATTTTAATTTTCTTAAAATTTATCTGCTGAAAAATAAATACACATAGACTTTATATTTGTGAAGCATATATTTTCCATATTTCCTAAAAGGCCATATGATACAGGACAGCACCAGATGGGGAGTTAGATAGCTGGTTCTAATACTGGTTCTGCTACTAACAAGTCACATGAATTTTAGATACCTTCGGTCTTCAGATACCACAATATTTTTAACATTAGGAGCTCACACTGCATTATCTCTAATGTTCCCTCCAGTTCTAAAATTTCATTAGTTCACTTTTATAAGCTATAATATTCCACTAAGACTATTCTACATTTTAATGTATACTTTCAATTCAAATTGATACATGTATATATACAAATACCTGAGCAGCCATATCGACTAGTTGTGGAAGCTTCAAATACTTTCCATCTCCTTCCTTAAGGAAATCTAACAAGCTCCCTGTAAAAGACAGCACGATATTCACGAAAAATAATCAGATCTTACATTAGGACTGAAACAAATACTCTTCCACCCTGCATCACAACATAAAACTTCTTAGCTTTTCATTTTTTCATTTTTTTTGCAGTTTTGGAATTTCTGAATAATAATCTTGATTCTAGAAGAGGTCCTTAAACTGAAATTTTGAAAACTCCTGATAACATATGAAAAAGGGGAACATGCATTAACTTTACCAGATGAGAGGTATTCTTTCCCTGCTTTGATCAATATCCCAATTTTGATTCAAAAATAGTATTAGATACATATTTTTAAGTCAATCTGAATCAATAAGTCAGACACCTGGGAATATCTTGGGGTAGTTAAAACTAAATATAGGCAACTAAATGAGTTGTGGTGGAAGCACTGCCCTGACCGGCTTCTCTCAATTTTGGCAGAAGGTACCACTGAACAGCAAAGTACTACGAATGGCAGCAAAGAGAACCGCTGGAAAGGAAGTCTAATTGCTGCCTCGCTATTACTGGTTAAAAGCTTACTATGGGCCGGATGCGCTGGCTCACGCCTGTAATCAATCCTAGTACTCTGGGAGGCAGAGGCGGGCAGATTGTTTGAGCTCAGGAGTTCGAGACCAGCCTGAGCAAGAGCGAGACCCCGTCTCTACTAAAAATAGAAAGAAATTAGCTGGACAACTAAAAATATATATATATAAATATATATATATATTTATATATGTAGTTGGTATAGTTGGTGGACTGGTCAAGAGATAAGGAAATCAAATTCCAGGTGAAGGAAATAACATGAACAGTATCACAGAAACAGGGCAACAAGAAGATCTGCCCAGATCAGTGGGTTTATGTTGGAGTACATGAGGCAATGAGTTTGGACAGATTATAGTGGGTCAACTACTAAGTAAATGAATACCGAAATGAGACAGAGTTTTTCTTTTCTTTTTTTTTTTTTTTGAGACAGCATCTTGCTCTGTCACCACACGTAGAGTGCAGTGGTGTCATCATAGCTCACTACAACCTCAAACTCCTGGGCTCCAGGGATCCTCCTGCCTCAGCCTTCTGAGTAGCTGGGACTACAGGCACATGCCATGATGCCTGGCTAATTTTTCTATTTTTAGCAGAGACAGGGTCTCACTCTTGCTTAGGCTGGTCTCTAACGCCTGAGCTCAAGCAATCCTCCTGCCTTGGCCTCCCAGAGTGCTAGGATTACAGGCTTAAGCTACCATGCCTGGCATGAATTACAGAGTTTTAAAACTAGAAAGGACTTCTCTTATCTTGTATTCTAAATTTCCGATTTCTTGTTCTCTTGTATTCTAAAAATCCTACCCAGTGATCTGATGATATAGAATTTTACCATGTTCTCCCAATTAAATAATTCTTGAAATCAATTCACAGAGCTAAATGGCTAAATGGACCATTAGCCTCTTACCTCCTTTACATACATACATGTATTTATTAATTAGAGACAGGGTCTCACTCTATCTCGCAGGCTGAAGTGCAGTGACATAATCAGAGCCCACTGCAACCATCCAAATCCTGGGCTCAAGGCATCCCGAAAGTAGCTAGTTCTATAGGAGCATGCCACCACAACCGGCTAATTTTTTATTTTTTGTGTAGTGACAGGGTCTTGCTACATTGCCCAGGCTGGTCTTGAACTCTTGGCCTCAAGCAATCCTCCCACCTTGGCCTCCCAAAGTGCTGAGACTACAGGCGTGAGCCACCATGTCTGGCCCCTCCATTATCTTTTTATAAGCTACCAATATCTTGATTGAAACTTTCTGTTTCTCCTTTTCTCTTCTAGTTCATTCAGTGCACTCTTTGACAAGGCATATTTGACTGTTGTTGCAGTAGAAATTGTTTCGAGAGAGTGTTTGGGGGCTTTAGTTATGTTTTGGCTATTAATTATTAGGCTGTGTCAGTTCTTACCTTTTGGTTTCAGTCCCCTTTGAGAGAAAAAAGTTTTCCTATAGCACATGTGTAGCTTGTAGTTGCCCCTGTCACCACTAGATGGAACTACATCGTTGGTCAAGATAGACTACTGGAGAGGGTGACATAATCAGTGACTAACTATATAGACTACTGACTTAAGAGTTAAAAAAAAAAAAAAAAAAGTGGATCAAATTCAAAATGGGTGAGTATCAGGTCTATAGGCCTATTTACGGACTTATTGGTTCTTCTAAAGCATCATTTGCACTTTGGAAGGCTGAGATGGGAGGGTTGCTGCTTGAGGCCGGGACTTCAAGACAAGCCTGGGCAACAAGCGAGACCCCACATCTACAAAAAATAAAAATTAGCTGGTCATAGTGGTGTGCACCTGTGGTCCCAG